TCCCAAATGGTCTGGGCTTCAGCTAATAATGGGTCAGGAATGTGAGAAAGCTGGCTAATGTGTGAGTCAGATGAGAGGCGGGAGGCGATGAATTCACTGATGGAAAGAGTTAGAGGTGAGCGTAAGCCGTTGCCCCCGAGCTTGCATGGAAGTGATGCTTGTAGCCATGAATTATGGTTGAAGCGAAGATTAAGGATCTCTTCGGCAAGAGATTTGACGGAAGTTTCAAATGATTTTAGTGAGTCGGGAAATTTAAAGATTGAGGTGGATCGAAGAGCGTAAAGAATTTTAGGAATGTAGTAAAAGTCTTTGAGGAGAAAAAAAGCTTGATGGCGAGGGAGAAATTTAGAGATGTTTTTGAAATGAAGTAAGCTAGATGATGCGTTAGAGAAGAAGTGATTAATGGATTGTAAGCCACCGACAGGTGAGCCGAGATGAGTGAGGGATGATAGCTCGGTTGTAAGGAAGTTATGGGTGAATGGGATGGAACAATGAAGTGGACAGATCTCGGTTTTTTGTTCGTTAAGTGAAAGTCCAATTGCGACGGAATGTGTATTAATGATGGCGAGGGCCTTGGCGACCTCGTGAGGGGAGCCGCAGAACATTCCGTCGTCGATGTACCAAGTGTGGAGTGGAAGATTGCAGTTGGTAGAAATGTTTTTGACCATTTCGTTGATTCCAATGCAGAAAAGTATCGAGCCTAGAGGATCGCCTTGCTGGATCCCTTCAGATGATGAAAGTAAGTAGTTGTTGAATTGGAGATGAGATGGCTTGGAATAGCAGGAGTGGAAAAATTGGGAGAAGGTGGGAAATGAGTGGTATATTTGTGGAAGAAAGTGGGAACGGCGAATGGAGTTGAAGGCGTTAGAAAAATCAATTTTGACGAGGATTTCGTCGCTAGGGTTGGTTTGGAGATGGATGCGAGTAGCGTGTGTGGCTATTTCGCAACCTCCCTGGATGCCAATACCGAGTTGATGGGGTGCTAAAATTAAGGCTGCGTTGTCCTTAATTTTGGAAGCTATGAGTTTAGCAACGAGGCGACGGAATACGGTCCCGATTGCTATCGGCCGGATGTCCTTGTTCGGCTTTTCGAGTGCGATTAATTTAGCGCCGAACAGGAGTGGCCTGATGGATTCGGGAACAGGTCCATGTGCAATTTTGTTGCAGAATGTTGTTAGATTCTGTAAAATAGGGACCTGGCTGACTATGAGGGGGGATGTAAGGTCCTGGAGGAAGATGGGGCGAAGCCCATCATACCCGGGCGAGGAGTCGTGATGAAAGGATAGGATACTTTTGCGCACCTCGACGGGGGTGAAATTAGTGGGAAATATGTTGGGCGGAGGAGGAGGTATGAGGTCACCTCCAGGAGGGTGCTTAAGTTTAAGTTTGTTGTAGCTCTCCTCATTACTGGTTGCAATTGAGTCGTCAGATGCTAGTAAGCGGAGAGCAGATTTGATGTTTAGATTGTTTATTTTGTTAGAAATTATCTTAGCCTTTAATTGGAGGCTGAAAAGTTTTTTAGAATTATAAGGAGAAAAAGTGGATGTGAGGGTGAGGGGGTGTATGGTTGCGTCTTTAATTTGTTGGGTTAAAGATTTGTGAATCTCAGGATTGGGAGGTTGGAGAGTCGTGAAAGAAAATGAAAAAAGTTTGAGCCAATGATCTAGAGAGGAAAAGTTATTTAATAGTGAATGAAGACAGATAGAGAGAGCTTTGGCTACTTGTATTCTAGAGCCTTTGGGAATTCTAGAAATAATGGGAGGTTTGTCGGATTTTAGAAAGTTAATGATGTCGACGTGAGTGGTAGGTGGGAGGGAAATGAATGTGTCTGATGTGGTTGGTATGTGGGCGTTATTGGATGAGGTGGAAGTATAACTGTGAGTAGAAAAAATGGAGAGGGGATTTTGGAAGGGAGGGGAAGGACGCTTTCCAGACTCAGGACAAGCACTGCCATCTTATATTCATTTTAAAGAAATTTTGAAACATCTAACAATTAATTTGAAATTAATTTTCTTTAAAGAAAATAAAGTTTTTTTCAATAAACGCAATTTAACAAAATGAGCAAGTTATAAAATGATTGTTTGATATTGAGAAATTTGATTAAATTGGTATGGTGGCTTTTGCTTTCCTAAGAATTTTAAAAGGGTTGTAAATTCGATCCACAAACTTGGACCCCTTTTAAAAGAGGAGGGTTTCAAGATATCAAAAAATCTTTTAAAATAATAATTTTTAAAAAACCTTCTTTTTTTTTTAGCAATCTTCTATTATTATATAAAAAAATTCATGAAAAATAAATACAAAGATATTTTTTTCGTGAAATCATTTAAATTGCTTAAAAAAATGACTAGTTTTTGAACGAGTTCTATTAAAAATGATTAAAGAATAATATAATGACTTAAATTTTTTTTAGGTCATTTCAAATTTATTTTATAATTTTCTTGAATGTGTTTCAATCCATTTAATATATTTTGATAAATCAACATAAACTGCAGGTTTACTGTGATTGACACAGTCTCTTCCCCAAGGATCAACACCTTAAGACTTTTTTCTTAGAAAGGCTCATATTGCAGAACAAAGGTCCTCCGAAGTTTCCCTTTTTTAGAAATAATTTATATAAGTATCGTTATTGGCCGAGTAATGTATTTTTTAAATTTTACAGTGAATACTGATACGATAAAATAAAAGAAATCTTTTATTCAACCAATCCTAGATGAAATCTTGTCCTTTGCAGATTTTTAATTTAAAAATAGTCTCCATATATAATCTGACTTTAAAAATAATAACGTATTTCGTTCTGAAAATTGAATTGAAAGGAAAATATTGTATAAAAAATGACTATTTTTGAGGTAAATAGAAATTCGCCGAAAATAATTAATTTAAAATTTGATTCAAGCTCGAACCCAAACCGCTCGAACTTGTATCCGTCTATCAAAACTTTAAAATTTATTTTGAATAACTTAGACCTCTACTTTTAATATTATTTTTTGTTTCCTGATATGAATATTATTTCAAGAATAACACAAAATTTCCTTCAATCCTCGAATCTGTAAAAAGAATCAAATTAAATCCAATGGATTAGAAAAAATTTTCTCGGATCAGATTGAACTAAAAAAAAGAAGCTTTGATGACATTAATATTTAGCAAGTAAATTTTTTTATAAAGAATAGATACCTGCCTGGTTACATATTCTACAGATGGTCGCTTGAAAATAAGTGGTTATTCCATATTCATTTATTGCCAAGAATGACGTTATATATATATATATCCATTTTTGTAAAATAATTATACATAAAAAAAAATTCGAAATATTTATAAAAAGTATAAATTACAGCCAATATAAATAAGGTAATATCATCATATTGAAATTACAAAAACATAATTTTTAAAATGGCTCTTCTGGCAAAATTACAAAAAGTAGAAGTGGAATAATTTAATTCTTCGGCGATGAAATGTGGGATACGATTCCGAAAACATCAGAAACATTAAAAAATAAATTCTAAAAAAAAGCTCTGCCATAATAAACAATTTTAGAATAAAAAAAAATTGCTAAAACCCTACAATAATATATACCAATATAGCATATGATTATGATGTATCGTCTTTTCGTGATTTGTGAAAAATAAAATAGATGGGAATATTGTGCGGAAACCAATAGGTAACCTTTAAAGATTCTTAAGAATAGATAATTTTAGTTAAATAATGAAAATATCATACTATACATTCTTCCTTCGATTCAATTTAAATAATAAAAACAAAGAACCATGTATAGTTTTTTTAAAATGAATTTTGCAAAATAATCAACAAAAATAAAATGGAATATTGTTCAGGGAGCCCAACTGGTAAACTTCAAAAAAAGGAAAGATCCCTGTGAATAGATATAGGATAATATTTAAATAATAAAAATATAGTACCATGTAATGTCCTTTTGGAATAAATATAAAATCATATTAAAAGAATAAAATTAGAGAACCACGTATTTTTTTTTAAATAAGTTATACAAAATAATCAACAAGAATAAAAGGGAGTATTGTTAGACACGACAAATTGGCAACCTAAAATAAACTAAACTTGCAAAGAAGTAAGTATCAGGTGCAGTTCTTTTATTAAATGAAGGCCCATCTTTACATATTAGAAGGATCTTAAAAAAGTTCTAAAATATAAGGGATAAAATTATAAATAAAAAATGTTTTATCCATAGAAACATGTATAGATATTTTTTTAGTTTATATGTATTTTTTACTTAGGACAAACGCAATAACATTTTATATAAGTTTTGGTGAATTTAATTTATCAATTACAAATTTATCAATCTTTATTTCAACAATTTTCATATTTATAAAATCAAATATAAAAAAATTAAATATAAATCTTTACATATTTTTCGGAAAAATAGATCTTATTTTAAATATTACCTTTAGAAATGAATTTTGCGAATTCTTCACAATTCATATGAAAATTTTATCATTAATTCAGCTCCTTCAAATGAGAGCGAAGAACGACTTTTTTTCGCCAAACTATATATTCTCTACTAGGGAATTTGAATAAGGAATCGAAATACATAATTACAAATATTTAAAAAATTTATAGCTTGATTAGAGGTAGAAAACTTCTATTTTTTGATGAGATACTACTTATAAATTCTCCGTTTTTATGAATGTTGAAAATATAACAAAGTCTGTAAATATATCATCTATATTTATATATTTAAATTAATTTTAATATATCATTTATTATCATAACTTTTATAATTATATCAAATATCATTGAAATCATATCTTTTCTCAAAATATTGGATATTTTTTAAAATATTTTTCAACTACCCTCTTTGTAGGCTTCAATCTGGTCAATGCCATTTAATTTTCACTAAATTATTTATAAATGCATAATTATTGTACTAGATAAATTTTTTGGATTTTTTTGTTTCACGTAAAATTATTTTATTGTGTAAATTCTCTTCAAATTAGTTTTATATAATTTCATATAAAATTACATTCTTTAGACTTCTTAAAACGCAATAAAATAATGGTACGGATTTATTCAGGATACTTAATGGTAAGGAATTTATATAATTTAAAATTCATTATTTTTCTAAATTATTTTGATGACCCTAGTTATTATTCATTGCTTCAATCCTCACTTGTTCTTCAATAATTTATGGAAAAGCAATTCCAGGTATATTTGTCTATATAAATAAATTTTATTATTTTTATTACAATCTCACATTTCCATTTATAAAAACTCATTCATTTATTTCTAACTTTTAAATATATTAAAAAAAAGAAGTTTTGTTGATAAAATCTTGTAGTATTTAGTAATCATTATAAGAATAAAGGATGCTAAATTGATAAATAAATAAAGTATCTTATATTTTTTAAATTCCATCAAATTTCCAGTTTAATAAAAAAAAATTCTTTTTATAAAAATTATAATAAAATATAGTTATTTTAAAAAATTTTGGCAACAGAAACATATATAATATCTGAATATATATATATATATTTCGGGCACCGAAAAAGAGTAAAATAAATTTATTGTATTAAAATTAGTGCTGTACGGTAACGCTTTTTTTGAAGAAAAGGAACGTCATACGTTACCTTTTTCTAGAAGTAACGAGTAACGGTAACGCGTTTCTTTTTTTTGGGTAACGGTAACGCAAAACGTTACTCGTTACTTTAAATTTTTTCTTAAAAAAATATTAATAAAAAAAACATATTTTATTGTGCTATAAAATTACTTTTATTTATTTTTAATATAAATAATAAACCGAGTTTTTAATTCATATCAACCACCATTCCTTTCATTCTTATTTAAATTTTCGCTCGTTATTTTCAATCAAATTTTAATCTAACTAATATTCAATCAAAATTCAAAGTATATATTAATATTATTTTTCTATATTATAATTTATTTTAAGAATATATGCCAAACTCTATAATAGTTGATTCTTCTGATGAAGAAAATTTAACCCTATATACTATCAGCAATGATTCACCCACTCTTTAAATTAGATTGGCCCTGGATAAAATCAGAAATGAATAAACAAAGAATGCAAGATCTTATTTCCATTTTGAGAAAAGATCTTGATAGAGAAAGAGCAGACCTGATTCCCTTATCCAAAACAAATATTAAAATTTTTTTTTTGATAAAGATAAATTTTTTTTTGATGAGGAAATTAATGAAAATCCTTGTGAAGATGTTTTATTAAATTTTTTTCAAAATAAAGATACTTCTTTAAATATTTTTAATAAATTCCCCGAGTTAAAATTTTTATTTATTAAATATAATACCACCCTCCCATCCTCTGCTCCAATTGAACGTGTGTTTAGCACGGCGAAGGCTGTGTTGAGCACTAAGCGCTCTTGTTTGTCTGATGAAAATTTTGAAAATCAATTATTGCTAAAAATAAATAAAAAATTTTTACAAAAAAATGTTATCTTATGATTATATATTATATATGAAAAATTTTTATAATAAGATTTCATCATTTTATGTATTATTTTTTATAGTTTTGTCTATATTATATATTGTAAGAAAAAATAAATATATTTTTGAATATAATATTTAATTTTTTTAAGTAACGAGTAATACGTTACTTTTTTGAAAAGTCAGTAACGCGCGTTCCTTTTTTAAAAAGGTAACGAGTAAGGGTAACGCGTTCTTTTTTCCCAATGTAACGAGTAACGGTAACGCGTTTCTTTTTGGAGGTAACGTTTACAGCACTTATAAATAGTATAGTAACTCATTTCGGTGTATGCGAACGAGTTAATTATATATTAATAGCATTTGAGAATATTAAAATATCCAAATTTTATCATAATAAAAAATAATATATTATATTATTAAATACCTTAATTTTTAATATTTTTTTTAAACACAAATTTTTATTAGATGTATATGTTAATTTTATTTAATAAGTAATACTACTCTACCTCAATAAAATTTAAAAAAAGACCAGCTGATTCTTTCGTGCGTCGTTATATTTTATAATAAAAACAAGTGTTAATTTTTTAAAAAATAGATTTATGTTTTATAAACCTTTTACTCGAATCGTGGGCAGCGGATATTATTTGAATTAATTTAATACTATATATCACAATTTTTAGATCAATATTTCTAGACAATCTTTTAAAATATATCAAATAATTTAATATTAAACTTTTTGTACACCCTTTAGATGATATTAATATTTATAAGTTTTAACATTCATTTTGAATAATTTTTTTAAAATTAATGTCGGAATATTAATATATTTAATGATTACCAATATAAGGTTGTTATTCATTAAATATAACCACTACTCTGCCGTCAAGTGCTACGATATAAAGAGTTCAACCTGGCAAAAAATATCATTATACAGATAATTCCATAATATATATTTAACAAATTCTCATGTCTGATCTGATCAATTTTCCAATTTCAAGGATTGTCACAAATAATAATATTATTTTGCCATACAAATAATATTAAACTTTATTTGAAAACTATTTTTGATAAAAATAAATCTTAGGTCCAGAAGGTGTTTCTACTTATCAACTTGCTTTGAAAGACATAGTAGTAGCAAGCGCCTTTATCGTTACGCCAGCAGCAGGATGATAAATGAGATCGAACACACTTTTATTAAAGCTCAAATTGTTGTATAAGATTTTCGAATTTTATAAAAAAATTTTTGCGGTTAAAAACTATCACTATAAAATATAAGGGCTTTTCCTTTTAAATTTTCTAGAATTAGAAAGCGTTGTGTTTAATACATAACTCAAAATATATTAAGATCTTTCATAAACTACTTTACGTTGATGATAAATGTGATGATTGAAATAAAATATAATATATATTAAGTGTCATCTTTCATTTTTAATTTCGCTGATGATGCAAATTTTGTTGCAAAGGGTTTTTTTTATATATAAACATCGTTCAATACATTGAGATATTTGTTACCATGTGGGTTAGCTAAATTACAAGCCTTTGGATTGGTCGTACAATATATAGATTTAATTATCCCTGCCTTTTATATAGTGATTGGCTATTATAAAAGCACACATAAATTGACCAAAAAGGTATAATATGTACGGGATGCAAATCACTTTCTGATTAATCTTAATTTTTATCTTTGCTTTTGGTAGTAATTAAATTTATTAGCCATTTTTACTTCTGATAATTTGTAATTAAAACTCTTAACTCTTTATATAACTAAATCATGATACTTTTATTTCTATTACTTAAATATCTATGTTGTACTACTTTACCTTAATATTATCTTACAACCTGGATACTTAGAATTGGTGATGTTAAACTGAACTCAATACTTCACCTAGAAAAATATTACACAAGCCTGAAGATTGCTCAGAGAAGAAATAAAGGTCTATACATATATTATCGAAATCTCGAGGCTTAGTTAATATTTTTCTGGCCAAAATATTGAGTTAGCCGTTTTTAAAAATCGGCTCAAAACGAGCTGTTTAATAACACTACTTGGAATAATGAATGGAATCAGGTATTACTGGTTAGACGCCTTCCTTTATTTATTATGAACAAAGTTCAGCTGAGTTAGCCGGATCCCGTAATATTATATACTTAATTCCCTTCTCATCAGTACACTAGGGGCAACAACATGTCCATTTAAGTTTGAAATTTTTTTAAAATATATTCTTCATTGTTTATTTTCGTGTTTTTTTTTGTTGATTACATTTTTCTTTTCATTGTTTTATTTATTTTTTGTTTTTTAATCCATAATAGTATGTTGTTCATTTAGAATTTTTGATAAAAAAAGTTCTAAGGATGAAAAAAAAATGTGACGATAATAGGAAAATAGAAAAAAAAAATATTCAATCTAGTTATTATTTTTATAACATAAAAATAAAAAATTTACTAAAATTTTATATTTTAAAAACATGAATATTTCGGTAAGTGTTGGGTGAGAATAATTAACGAACAATCGAAATAATTTATAAAAATTAGAAATTTTAACTTTTTTAAAAAATAATAACTTTTAATTTTTACATTTCTTATATTGAAATATGCTCCGATAAAAATTTCAGCAATCCCAAAACTTTTTATTGCGGGAGAAAAGAGGAAATTTTAATAAATTATGTTCAAAGCAATATTTTGTCTTTGAGTAGTAGCAAAATGGAAAATATAAACTGAGTAAAAATGATAAATGGAGTAGAAATGATAAATGGAGTAGAAATGATAAATGGAGTAGAAATGATATTTTAAATTTTTCATTATTTAGGTAATATATTTACAATATAGAACAAAAACTCATATTTGCTAGCTCAAGCTTATGGGAGGACGCGTAACTCGTTGATGGTGCCACTTTGTGTAAATGTAGGAAATAGTGTGTACCTTCTCAAAGTTTGGCAGTTTGTTTACTAGATATTCCAACATCTACAACTGTTAGTGTGTAGTGGGAAATATCCACGGTGAATTTCACAATAACCTACCAATGACCGAGTTGACATGCTGTTTATATATATTTTAATAGTGTTCTTAAACGATTCGAAAAACGGCTAAATCAATATTTTAGCCTGATAAATATTTCCTAAGCCTCGAGATTTCCCTAATAGATATAGCCATTTATTAGCAAAATCTTTAGTATTGGGTATAATTTTTCTGGATAGCCGTTTTTAAAAACCCTATCTTTCAATAAAAGAATATTTTAAATTAAATTCTTGTGAAAATAAAAAATTTGCAATAAAATATAAATTTTAAAGCAATAAATTTTTTTAAAAAAGACGAAAAAAATAAGGTTTGTTTTTTATTCGAAAAAACCTTATCCCTACATATTATATGTGTCATATCGGGATATGTAATCCATGGCGTTCGGAATCTCTCCATTTTAAATCATTTAATGAGAATGGGAAATATGAGAGTTTTAATCAAACAAGAATCCGGAGACATTTCCAATTTATGTGTATTTTTTTTAATTTAAATGAAAGATCAATATAAATGTGGGTATAATTGTGTATTTTCACTTATATACATATAATTTTATATCCAATGTCAATCAAGAAATGTTGTAATGTAGATTCGTAGATTATATATTTAGTTTTATTTAATATGTTATTACAATATTATAGTCAAACATCGATATGATCGATGTCATTATTGTTTTATTTTAGATTTTGTACTGACCATTTTTGTTATTTTATTCATTGTTTATTGTTTGATTCAAACTTATAATATAAAGACTGGGATTTGAAATATTAAAGCTAATTTATTAATGAAAGATTGAGATTTGAAAACTGCGAATTTAAATTTTTAAGAAAAATTATTATTTTATTAGATAGAATACATTTTCCTTCCAATCAGATTTTTTAAAAAAAATCACCCTAAGTATGATTTAAAAAAAAGAGATTCTCAATCCCCATGAATTCCATATGCCAATACGAAATATATACAATTTTTCAGTATATTTTGTTTGATATTATATCTTTATTAACTCGAATCAAAACATGTAATAATTTAAATACATTATACATAAAAGATTTAAAAAAAATAAAATATTAACGATATATAAATATGTTTAAAAAAGTTAGGTTGGTCCAAGGAGGCTTCAATGAAACTATTAGATTTATGTATGACGATAAAGCCTTTGCCTAAGTTAAGAAAAATCTTTCGGGTTAATCGATAATTTTATGGATAAGGCTCGACCACCAAATATTGTGTAGTGTTTTTTGGATATTTCCGAATATTTATTTATTTTGGACAGCTCTTTGAGAAGATGTTAAAATAACAATTTAGGACCCCTTTTCCAAAGAATTTGGGTTATGCCAACTGGATGTTTTCCAACATCTTATATGACCGAGAGGTCTGAGGATTAATGGAATTTGGGAATAAGGGGCGCGTTGAATAATGGAATTGCATTGATTGTGTCTAGAGATGCGCCTTTGCATGAACGGCAGTGTAGGCTATGCCGTCCCTTTGAGTCAACAAGAACACTACCTCCAGAGTAAAGGTTAATTATTTCATTTAAGAGACTTATTTAAAAAATTTAACATTCGGGATTGTATATCAACGTAGATTAGCTTATCACATACATGTTGAGATTATAATGTTATAAACGAACGCGGACAAAGTTTTTTTTAAATTCATGAACGGCGTTCGCTTTAATTTTGACGAACTTTGATGTGAACGTGTTTCTTATTTAAAGAATACGTGTGTTTTACGCTTGTTCAATTTTTAAAAATCATCTTATATTTCTAAAAATAAAAAATATTAATTTAATATTAATCCAAATTTTTTAAAAAAGGGTTATTTTTAATGAGCTGTTTCCCTTATCACATTTAAATTTTTGTAATCCGCCGATATTTCTGTTGTAATATTTATTATTTAATATTATATAACTATAAGTAACCATTTAGTAATTTATTTTAGATTTTTTTTATTTCATAGGCCTATTAAATTATTAAGGTTATTATAATAGTTAAATAAATTAAAAATCATTAAAAGTTATATATTATATATAAATATAAACTTTAATATCTTTTAGGATTAAATTTATTCATATTTTAAACGAATTTCAAATTGTCATTTAATTTAAAATATTTAATTTATATTTTAAATAGCTATTAAAGGCATTTTAGTAATATATTCTGCTAAAAACTATTAGATCGGAGTTGTTCAAATTAAGAAACAATCCGAGCTCACAAAAGAATAAACCTTTTCCATTAAAATGTTAGGCATAGGAACAAGATTTAGTTTTCCGTTAGCATATTCATTATTATTTTTTATAGGTTCACTTTCTTCAAGATTCTCTTCGCACATGTTCACTGTTTCCAGAATATCGTTTTTATACATTCTGTAACAATCTGTTCCTTTAGTAAGTCCTAACGCTTTGGTAGCAGCCACATACAAGAAATTTGGATTGAGGGATGAATCGTGAGAATTACAGGCAAATCCGTCATTTGCCCTGAAAGGAACGGTTAACTCAACATTAATGGACCATTCGGATGGGACCGAGTCTAGGAGAGCTTTTAATAATTTGTTGGCAATATTTGAACTATCGGCGTATAACGGGCCTATAATCATGAAACGCTCAGAAGTTAGATGAATCGAATCATTGGTGCAAGGGGAAGTAACCATTTCATGATTGGCTGAAGTTGGCATCCATCTAGGGCGTATAATTCCGTAACCGCATATCTGCGCAGATGAAGCTTGCGATTCGTTTGCCATCGTTTCAGTGCTTTTAACTGCTACTATACATTTTACTTTGTATGCCGGGTCATTCTTTAAATAAATAGTTTATTTTAAAGTAGTTAATGTGATGTATCACAAACATATTTTATTGTGTTAGTTTAAATAAAACAATTATTAACTATCTTGCCAATGCATTTTTAAGGAAAAGCAGATGCATAAACAAAGTAAAATTAACAAATTTACGTAAACACTTAAATATAAAATAAACTTTTTTTACATCAACGTAAGTAAACCTTCACAGATAACTGTATAATGGCCTTCAAAAAAATTTCTCTAGTCACCCCACCGTGAATCGCCTTATCGTAATCATATAGGCTTTTTAAATCGATATCCATGCCATCCATAAATTTCAAATAACTATCTTCATTTCTTGGTATTGCCATGCTATCTATATATTTTGTGAAACCAGTATTCCTAGTGCTCAGGCATCTGCAGAAATGATCTGTCAAAAATAGTTTAAAATCAATAAAAATGTTGCGTTTATATAACTTTTTTCGGTGGTTTCCTTTATCTCTAACTCTAGGTTTGTCCCATAAATATTCCGGAGGTGGTCCTGCTTTTTAATATTGCACTGATTACACGTCATTCCATTAATTGTAATAGGTAATGATGTAAGATCATCAATGGATGCATATTTTGTTGAAGAATCAAGTATCGGACAGTTGCGTATTAAAGATCCTTTGAATATGGAAACTAAGGTGGAGAATATAAATTATAAATTTTTAGTGTTCTCTTTTATTATACGCCTAGTCAAAAACAATGATGAATTGAATAATACATTATTCTAACCAGTGTCTACGTGAGCGGAAAGGGCAGGGGGGGGGGGGGGTGGAATAGGTTGCATGCAATTTTATAAGGGGGAGGGGATAGGCGCCTTTGAGGGGGTAGAATAAATTTATTGGGGGAGGGGAGAATTAATTATTAAGTTTTTGGATGAAATATATTGCATACAATCATAGACATTATTTTCCAAGAAAAAACTGTAATGTCTGCTCTCCTTTAAAATGTAATTTAAAAGTGTTAAAACTGCCAAACAATATATTATAATAATGCATTCATTGTAAATGAGAGGGTTTTTAATTGAATTCATACTCAAAAAAAATAACTTATATATACACAATATTTTGATAGTTGGTAGTAGAAATAAAATAATTTAAGTTATTCTCTTTAAAATTTATGGTACCATTATAATTAAAAAGGTGTAAGGTTTTTGAAAGAGATTTGCATCCAGTGAAAATCCTGTCATATAGACGGTGATTCGAAAGAATGAGATAATTTAAATGGTATAATAACTTTAAATATTATAAAGTAATTCCTACAAAATATATAGACAAAATTTATTGCACATATAATTTTAAACAGAAAAATTATTTTAATAATCTAAAAATGACGAATGAGACCTAATTATTTGAAGAAATTTAAAAATATATTAATCTATTTTATAAAGCCAAGCTAATTTTTAAGGCACAAAGTATATCTTATTGTTTATTCTTAATAAGACATGCGATTTTTTGAGAGCGAATTAATTATACTTAGAAAAGATTTTCACTTGTAGTTAATATTATCTTGATAAACGCGCCACTCAGATTCGCAGTGGGTAATTCAATATAATATTTTTGGAGCGTTAGTAATATTAGTAATATGGATATGTATAATTTGGGGTAGGAGAATGGGAAGGTCGCAGTGTAAAAATAATGGGGCAGACTTTGACCATTGAGGGATGTAAAAAGAGAAAGGTGTGATGGGTAAGGTAACATGGTTGACGGTTCAGGAGTTAAATAGGGTATGAATAGTGATGTAGGCACATTGGCGTACGCAGCGGGGGGGCAGGGGGACAAATCCCCCCCCCAAACAAAAAAATGCAGATGCCGGATATATTTTTCAAAAATATTTTTGTCTAGAGTGTTGTGCAGATTTAATTTAAAACATTTCCATATTTTTTAATTCTTTTGTAAATAAAAATTTTAATTTGTAAATAAAAATTTTAATTTGTAAAAATTAATAAGAATATATAAATATGTTATTTTAACAACTTTTTACAAGTCAAATAATTTTATTTTCAAATCATTAATAAATATGGAAATGTTTTGAATTAAATTTACACAGTACTATATTAATTTATATTTGTTAATATTTATTCCTATCTCATATTAAATATATAATTAATTATATTTATTATCACATTCATCACTAAGTTTATCAATTAATTTCGATTTCAAGTTTTCCGGCGTAATATTATCTTATTATTTTCAAATTTTTAGTGGCGTAATATTTATCTACCATTTTTAAATTTCTAGTCAAATAATAATTATTCTGAAATTGTCCAACATGGAGAAAGAAATTGCAACCTTGTCCTACGAGATAGAGTCTCCGCCATCAAGCAGTAACAGCTTTTATGGATTTAGAAGAGCCGATTATTTGCTATTACTGACATATCACAATGGCCTGAAAGAAATTTTTCCTTAGAAGCAAGAAAATTATTGGATACAATGCTTATTCCAAATTTTTTTTCTCATTAATGTACAACTATTTTATGTATTACTTTTCAAAATCATTATGACTTGATTAAGAAGATGAGAATAGCGAAGAGCATTTTATTAGAACTCAAGGAAATTAGGGCTAATGTTTATGAAGAATTTCATATTTTATATGTTATTGTTAAGTCAAAAGCAGAGCTATACGTGTTTAATGTCTCACTCGACTTACAGCAAGGCAAGCTCATAGTTAAAACATTAATATAGGATCAGTAGAAGTATATCTTAGATACAAATACATTTATAAACCAAATAAATGAATGGTTTTTAATTCATTATGCAGCACTTACCAATCTGCAAATATTATTTCTATAAAAGCCTTCCCAACCTTTTTCAGATGGTGATAGAAAAAAAATATTTGTTGGATTTTTATCATGAAGATGTTAAAGTATCTTATGATGCTTTATTAGCTGAATAACTATGTTTATAAGATTAACTATGGTTGACACAGTCCCAAAAAATGCTATAGATGCTCTGCATTATTTCCAACACATTTTAGATTATATTCCCAATGTATTAAAAGGGTTTATATATATTAGCAACTCTTCCCAAAAGTAAAAAATGAGAGAACATTCTTTTTTTTAAGAAGAATAACAGAGCCTTGCAGAGGTACCATTTGCAGGGCATGATCCGGATTTTTTTAAAGATTTTTACGGCTAAGCTCAATTTTCAGGCCCGGCCCGGCCTTTTTTAAAATAAAATTTTCAGGCCCGACCCGGATTTTTTAAAAATAAATTATATTTATTTTTGATTTTTATAGCTAATAATAACGATTTCAAATATAGACTGTTAAAAAAAAATTTCAACGCCTAAATGTTTTTTTTAAAAAAATTAGGCTCAGCCCGGGTGTTTATTTTTAAAAATTTCGGGCCCGGCCATACTGTCTAGCCCAGGGCCAGGCCTGCAGATCTCTGAAAAACATACCAAGAAGTACAACTTTTGAAAGTAGATTGAAAGGTTTGGATCTTTTGAATATTCATAGGCATTTGATAACAAGCAGGGATGAGATAATTGAAAAATTAGCTCAATCCCAACGAAGATTAAATTTTACATTGTAAATATATAACATACAAAATACAATTATTCCCTAAGCTTTTTGTGTATTAATTTATATTTCTAATATTTAAATTTTTTATACTTTATATATAAATTTTAAAGCTCAAAAAATTCAAATTTCTATTTTGGGTCATTTAAGTGTTTCTTTACATATAATTTTTTTATAATTCACATTAATTTAAAATTTTGTATTAGAAATAGTTATGTCCTGATAAATTTATGCTTGATATTTTTAAAAAACAATAATATTTCTTAAAAAAATTTATTATCCCCCCCCCAGACCAAATTCCTGCGTACGCTACTGTGTAGGCAAATCAATTTTTAATTCTGATAGCCATAATTTTAATAATAATTAAGTGCTGAGACCGTATAAAGAGCCGAGAAGGAACTCTCGGGGAAGGAAAATAAAAATAAAACAGAATTTTGAGTCTCGGAGGAGGGGGGTAATAGTTATAATTGAGATAAACTGGGTCATATGCTTCGGGAGTGTAAATAATTAAATTTTATTAACTCTACATCCGAAGTCAAGACTTTTACTAGAGCTAGCAAAAAGTAAAAGTTAAAACAGATTTGGACATTGGATGAAACATATTATTCGAATTCGATTAATTTGACTCGAATTCATATTCGGACAAAACAAATTATTTACTATTCATTCTTTACTATTAAATTTAAATTATTTGAAACAAATAGAATATTATGCCTATTGACCAATAATTACTAATCTAATACGAAAGTAATCACATTTATAAAATTCAATAAAAGTCACCCTTTTCACTGTTTAAACTATCTCTTCTAATAAAGCAATAGTATGCAGATTGATATTGTATAAAGTAAAAAAATTTAATATATTGTTTGTTTTGTATACTTTTAAATAATGGTTGAGTCATTCCCATTTTAAGATTTGAGGAGACTCTTTCTTCGACGGAATTGATGCCCAAACATCTATGAGCAACGTGTTTAAACATATTGTCTAATAGTTTCTTTCCTACTCCTCGGAATCTGTGCTTCTTAGAGACTACGAACAAGCCAGCGAACGAATATTTATCGTTTAAGTTGGCACTCAACAAGGTTCCTTAAATTATTATAAAGCGTACCAGAGAGGAAATAAATATACTATTTTTGGGTTCTTTTCATAATTAGTAATATCTAATTGCCATTATTTTTAATATATTAATCTGTATTCATATCTCTTGGCCTTTTATTATTAAGTCTAAACTCGTCCAGTTTCAGATAAAACCGGGGATCAAAACAAAAGGATAAAAAAAAATATATAGTTAAAGTAATGATGGTTCTCGTGGTTCTACTCACTTATCTAATAATCTCTTGTTTTTAATTAAGAAAAAAGAGTTAACTGGTCGAAACTAGGTTATTTTATTATCCTTTTAAAAAATATTTTTGGGCCCCTTACGTACTTAAAAACATGAAAATTTTTTTTACATAAAAATGGATGCAGGATATTCTAGAATTCCTTTTAAAGTATTTTTGACTCCTGAGTGAAATGGCAAATGGCAAAGCAACTAGAAAATGGTGTATGACTAACTCCATTTTTTAAATTTTATAAGAGCTTTTACAAAGATAGTCAAAATTAATTAAAATATTGCAACAATTATATAGCATCATTGACAAAGCTAGGAATTATAGGGGGAATCTAAATATAATAGCTTAAGGGGCTTTCACTTAGACCCCCCCCCGTTAACGGGACATCGGCCCATGATTGGACAGGTTTATCTTTGAGGGAAGGGAATTTCAGCTTGGAATTTAAAATTTTCTACCCGTCATTTCGTTAACCCGTTTATTTGAGTTTACCACTTTCACATTATACATCAAACATGTAACAAGAAATTGAAACACCAATTTATATATATACATATTCATATAAATAAATGATTATTTTTGTACCTATCCTCCCAGCTGAAAATAAAAATCAAATAATTTGAATAAATCAATGATCTTTAATGGTAATAACACATTTAAATAAAGTTTCTTTCATAAAACAATCCAATTTTTTTACTTGCTGGCAACCGTGCTAATCTATATTGTTGGCCTATAATTGTCTTAATGTGCAGGATCCAAATTACTGGCTCCACTTCTCATTAATTTACTACTTTCACATTTTTGTAATATTCGTGCAAAATTAATCAAAGGAAAATCTTTTATATAAACACAAAGGGATAACGTGTCCTTCCTCTCAAAAACCTTCAACTATCAAAATTATAATATTATTCAAACTTTTATTAAATATTACTAAGTCCCATCCCTCTCATATTAACATAGATTTTCTTAAAAAATTTTTCAAATGGAAAAAGGGACCCACCTTGACAAATCTACCCAATAAATCTAGAAACCTAATTTCAAATTTTGTTACAAAGCTTATCACAAAAGTTAATAACAACTTAAATTGATTAAAATCATGGGAATACTTTCTCTCACAAATGTCTTATACGTTCCGTTAAAAAAGAGCCCTCATTACCTGAACAAATAAAATAACATATAGATAATTTTGACACTATTCAAATGAATAACTACACCCAAATTAATAAAAAACAAGTAAATGATATAACATACAAATGTTAAATAATATCGAGATGAGGCTTCCAGATATAATCTCCCCATCCCCTCAATATACCAGATCATAATTTTTACCAATGAAGAAATATCAACGCTATCAATTCTTTCAACAAAATTTTAACATTGGTCTTGATGGTTTCAGACTCTCTTATTTCAATGCTATAATTTAAAAAATCCTTCCCATAGTTCTGTCATTAAAGTTTTAACAACTTTTTGCAATAACATTTTTAATAAGGACATCACAAAATCACCAAATCCTTTGAGCACTTCTAATCGCTTTATCCAAACTAGATGGCGGTATCGTCCCATTACAATTGACTCCTTTTCCAGAAGATTAATAGCCAAAATCATAATCGAACGTATAAACATGATGTTGTCAACATTTTGAACTCTTATCAACTAGGTTTCGGGATTAAGGGCGGATGTGAAATTGTGGCTCATAATTTAATAATATATATAGAAAACCCACCACCAAACCATTAATATATAAACTAAATTTCAAAAACGCTTTCAATAGCCTTCATCTTACCTCCTTTTAAAATTCTTCTATGAAACTTGGCCTTGATACTCCTAATTTACTGAATTCATATATCATTAATCAACATGCACAAAATATTTTTCACACCTTTACTTTTAAAATACCAAATAGATATCAGTCAATCCAACTTTCTATTGCATTCAACTCCTTATCAACTGATAGACTTGGTGTATGAATTTAGAATCACTCCCTAGTTGTAACCTTGGTAATCTATTATCAGAAGAAACTTTATATTGCATTCAACTCTTTCAATCAACCGATAGACTTGATGTTTATGAATGGTTAGAATCACTCCATAAGCTTGCTAATCTCTTATCAGACGAACAACTGAAAGTAGCCATTGGTTTGAGTCTAGGTTGTGACATTGTCAGCCTCATGCTTGTATCAAATGCAAATCACCGGTTGATTCAAAGGGTAAGCATGACCTTAATTGTATATTTAGTCAGGGACGACATCAAAGCCATACAGCAATAAACTATAATAAATCGAGGTTTAACAGCCGCACACAAACCGAATTATCTTAAACCCACAAATCTATGTGATGGTTTAAGACCTGATGGTATGACAAGCACACCTTGGGCTTTCGTAAATCGTTAAAAAACTACGCATGTGTCTATTTATTCCTCCTAAACTTAAATATCAACCTACTAAAACAGACAGAAACTAAAAAGTAACAAATTTAAAAATTTTATTAACTTCATATTCACACCAATAGTGACTTCTATAAATGGTCATTTTCCGCCATTAACATATTTTTTAAAAGATCTAGGCAATAAAATACGGTTTTTTACATACAAAACAGAGAATCTTTAAATTTGCGCCAAAAAACTTAAATTAAAATTTTTAGACATAATTATGATTCCTTTTGGGGAACCCAATTATAATATTCTATTTTAATTATATAGTTTTTTAATTTTTATTTTAAATAATTTTATAATATTTTAATTAATATGATAATATAATTTACTATTATAAATAAAAGCTTAAATAAAAAAAGAAGTTTGCTATCTTGTGAGATATATTTATTTTAATTTACGTGTTGTACAATAATCTTATTGAATTATGTAAAACATTGGCATATTAAATAAATATCAATAATATAACCATAAATCTATTAATCCATATGTGCAAACAGTACTAAATTTTATGTTTTTTCAAATATTACTATTGATAAAAGATAACAAAATAAAAATATAAACCAAAATTTATCATTAGAATTATAGAAAGATTGATAAGAATTCAGTATTTGTATTTTTTTGCTCTGGGAAGGGATCCAAACCCCAAAACAACCCCCGTAGCTACGATACTGTAGAGCATTATGTTTACTATAAAATTAAAAATCAACTAAAATAAATTAAATATTTATAATTTTATTTATTGTTTCACATAAATAGATTTTAAAAAAATCTTTAATGATAAAATAATAGAAATTAAATTCGTAGGAAAATTGAAACAGAAGTTGAAGAATTATGAAATAAGGATTAGGGGAGGGGGGAATTTGCAACTTATGGAAAAATTGTAATGAAAAATAGTTCTAGGAAAATGATTGGCCAACTAAAAATAATGCGCCGTAAAAATAAAAATGGTGCTTTAGAGCAATCTTTAACCAGTGTGGCCGAATAACAATAAAAATAGGTATTTGTTATGCGGTTGAAATATATAGTTTAAAAAATTGCAGGCTACTGGAAAAACTCATGTCAAATTATCTAAACGTTAATTTATCAATTTTAATTTTTTGTATGGGAATATATTTATACACTGCAAAATCTCCCAAGGGTACACTTTTTAATTTATATTTTATATCACTAACCCAGGCCATAAATAATTAATTACTAAAAATTATTTTTTTTTCTTCCATTTTATCAAATTATAGAATACATATGGGGAGTTTCACAATAAATCAACATGATTTTCGAGCTGATCTCCTTAGATATTTTTAAAAATACTGGCATTATGACTTTAATTTAGAGATAAAAGTTATTTAGGTTAAAATACTGTAGTAAGATAGAAATTGGGCCGTTTATGTCCCTAAACATAAATAACGTTAAAACTTGTTGAATCTCTATCCTCATATTATCTTGATATAAGTATTTATATTTAAAAAAATACCGATTTCCTGATATACACACTTACCATATTTACACTTAATAATTTTTTCAATAATTATATTTTCATATAATATTAAAGAGCAATCAAAGTTACTAATCATATTTGAATGAATATGTTAGCTCAGCAAATTTTAAAGATGTTATCAAGATTCAAAAATTTAATAAAAATTTTATACTTTGAACACCCATATCTCGGACTTTTAGTGAGTTTGAAATCAAAAAATCTTTTAAAAAATCTGAAGAGGTTAGTTGAAAATCGTGTTATACTTATTATTATTGATTTATCGTGTAATTAATTAATTATAACTTATTATTATAATTGAATGAAATTGCATTAATTAAAATTCAGTGCTGTTCTGCCAAAATATTAACAAACTAGTTAGCTAATTTATTTATCTAGTTTGGATTAGGTTCGATGATAGATTGTCTAACCCCAAAGAATGAGGCTAATGAGACATGGCTCTCACGCTATTACATTTAATAAAAAAAAAATTTTTAAATTGTAACAATTTATTAAGCATGTTTAAATTTTATAAAGATAAAACTATATCTCCCCGATAAAATTATAAGATGACTTGTGTTGCGAATTACTTTAACATTGAAAGTTAATGGAATTAGTCAATTCTTACATCATGTTCAAGTAAAATATTATAATTCGTAAATTATTAAAAAAAAATAGTAAGGAAGAGAAAAATTATATAATTGAAAAGAATCACTCATTAATTTATTTGATTAAATTTTATTTAAAAAAGGTTTGGCATGTTTTCCTTGAACAAAATTTATAATATTTTTGAATAAAAAAAATTAAACCAATGATGTCTTCATTCGAGGTGACAGCCACAAACCAACCCTTGGGATCTATATCGTAGCATATCTTGAGAAATGTGCAATCATTAGTAGTCCAGCCTACTTCCTTGTAGATCCACTCTGGAATCCCATCTATCTCTTCCACCTTTATACACCTTACTTCGAACTTACATTCTACTTCATCAAAGTGTTTCATTTGTATTTAAACTATTATGTTTTTTTTGTATATATTAATTTTCATAAACTTACTGAATTGCCTAATTAAAAATTTTAATTTATTGATTGAACTTTATTTTATATATCTTATATATAGTAATTTCATCTAAGAATTATTTCACTGCAAAACATTTGATTTTATAGTAAAAATGCCATATCAATCAATCTTGTGATAAGTATTACATTAATCAAGATTTTGATTGGCTTTTTATTGCAGGCATTTTTACCCCTCCCTATAGGTCATTGACAACATTATTTATAACTAGAGGTCTAACGCCTGGCAACGTCTGAATTTTTTTAATTGGGCCAAACCTTTAAAAAAATATTTTTGATTTGTATTGTTGATGAATTTCTGATATTTGATAGAAGTGACATAATCCATATAGTGTAGTTTCCTCGTTATTATAAATGGTTGTTTATTATAGTGTTCATCAACTAAATATATTTTGGGCTTAGACTTTACATTAAAATTGGGCCGGGCCTGGCCAGTAGTGTTGTTTAAAAGCCCGATTCGTGTGGATTTTAAAAAAAGGTCCGAATAAGATTATAAACAAAATAACATTATGTAAGCCTAAAGATTTTGTTCATATGCGGTATAAATACTTGGACATCTGCTTGTCAAATCTCAATGCTAACATAATTATATTTTAGCTAAAATTTTAATCGGGCCGTTTTGAAATATCAATCCAAAGCGGGCTTTTTAACAATACTACTGGCCAGGCCGGACAACCTTAATTGCAAATGGGCTGGGTCTAAAAATTTAGCCAAACCGGGAAAAGGCTAATTTGAAAGCTAACATTATGAAAGCTAATATACATGCCCAAAAGGGTGGAAGATAATTTTCAAATGGGATATATGATTATGATTCGAGCAGTGCGATGGACCTAACAGAGCATTTTAGACGTCACCTTTTTTTATTATAACTTCCAGTGGGGTGGGGGGATTATGACGCAAGATCGCCGTTGAAATTGGAGATATGCTGGCAGTTTTAGTAATGCTATCGTTATTTGAATAAAATTGGAGGAGGGGGGATATAAGGAGTTTTTTGAATCCCTTTTTTATTGCTAATTTTATTTTCGCTGGAAGAGGTAATAATATAGTCATTGGCTTGGGAGGAGGGTTAAAAGTCTCTGCCTTAGTTGTCAGTTAGCATTAATAGATTTTTCATTGGAAATTTGAAAAATTATGTTCAACCAATATTTAGATTTTTTTAATTTGAAATTTAAGTAAGCCAAAAATATTGCCAACACAAACTAACTTGAGCGCGCGTATAATATTTGTTTTAAAATAATAACTTTAAAAAATTTCTGATTTCACAGTCCATTTAAAGTTAAGGTAAAATATAAGGGATTCGTTTTTGTTTTAATCTAACTTGACAGTTATGATGAATTTATAGCAATCGCGATTTGCTCAAGAGATACAGAATTAATCACTAGCGTAACCACAGCTGATGCGTCACATCTATAATACCTTGTTGATATATAATAAACAAGTCGCGATTTCATCCGCTCTAATTTATAAATTATACCTATTATTGTCTTGCTTTTGTTACGCAGCGAATAATTTTGCATCGTTTGAGCAAATTGCGCTTACTATAAATCAGGCGTTAAGGAGGTCATTAACGAGACTCAGAGGAGGTTGTGAGAAGTTTAAAAAAGTAATTCAAAGGAGTATCAATAAAACAACTTTCAAAATTACATTAGTGGAAGGGATGAGAATTGGAAAGGAAGAGGCAATTCCTCTATCACTCTTGTAATTACATAATTGGCCATATGCCTAACTAGGATTTTCCTACTGAAATGTGCCCCCCCCCCTTTTTTTATTAATTCTTTTATTAAAATACTTTTTTCCTAAAATTTTTGATTTATATTTATAATAATCGCGAAAAAAGTTAGACAACGTATGCATTTATTAAATTACAAAAAATAATATATTAAATAATAGAGTCTAGCTATCGTTTAGCTATGATTATCATATCCTCGTTTATAGTAAGCGTAAAATTTCGCGATGTAGTTCAAGCGATGCATAATTTACAAAATATATAGGGTTAATTTATACGGTTATGATATAGTTTAGGGATGTCGAGGATTTTGCGCTTACTATAAACGATGCCTAAGTGTTATAAATTCTAACGAAATATATAAATAGAACTAATTTACCCATTATTTTTAAAATGTTACTTTTATAAAATCTATTATACTTTCCAGAATATTTTTTCTAATGAAGTATTATAAATATAAAATCGTAAAAAAAGAGAAAAATATTAATAATGATTAATGATTATAAACCAGGTACGAAAAAAATTGATTTGTGGTCAAAACATATTTTTTAATTTAATTCAAGGACATATTATAAATAGCAAGTTGTTAATATATTTTTCTGCCATAAATTATTTTAAGTATTAATATTTTTGGACTTTTTTTTAACTATTAAAAGATAAAGGTGACAAAAAATATACGTTATTTAAGAAAATTGGTTTAAGTTATCGTTTTATCGTTTTATCTTTTATCCATTTATCAAATATTTATTATTTATATAAAACTATCAAGATTTATAAAAGAATGTTCATAACTGATTTATTTGTTCAAAGCGGGTAGGAAGGAATGAATAAACAAATGAATGTATGTATAATGAGGGATGATATTGAAAGATACGGATGAACATACTTACCGATAAAAGAGGTGGGGGGGGGAGGTGTTTATAAATTATTTTACATAAATTTTAATTTTTTTTGGTTTATTGAATTTATTTATAACAGTGCATTGTTTTTTAATGAAATACATTTAGACATCTTTGTCTATGATGACATGATAATTATTTTTTTACATATACATTGTATAATCTTTGTATATTAGGTGAAAAAAATAATTACGTGAAAAATAAAGTTAATAAGGAAAATATAATTTTCATAATTTAGAATTAAATAACTTTTAATAATTATTTTAATTTGTAATATAAGTGCATAAAATAAAGTTAATAAATTATACATTTAATTATTTGAAATGATTAAAAATATCAGCTATATGATGTGATATTAAAATTTATAAATTTATCGTAATTTAACCAAAACTAAGTAAGGGTATATCTATTTCTTATGCATTGTTAAATAAGTTATGTTAATAAAATGAAAAAGATGCAAGATTATCTTGAAAATTAAGTATTTAAGGTAGATATATAAATAAAGCTATGCAGGGGTTGACTATTAACGCCGCCGATATTTTTCTGCACTCTAGGATGCGTGGTCGAGTATTTTCAATCACGTCAGCATAAATAAAAAGTTCACTTTTTTTAACCATTATTAAAATTTTATGTTTTGTGCATTATAAGTTTATTAAATTTAAAACATATTTTTAGAAATATTTTGATTTGCCAGATAAGATGCCAATAAATCGAACAGTTCATAAGGATATATATCTATCCATGAAAAGACACATATAGGTACAAATTAACTTAACAAAATTTTGTGTTATCGATCAATTTGGAACAAATTATATTACATATACCTCTCATTTATTGTAAATTTTTTGAAATGATGTACTTTATGGTGGATTCAAACGGGTGAAAAATTAGGAGAAAATGTGAACACCTCGTAAGTTTGGGTCATGGAATACACAATTTAGTAACAGTTGATGGTATGAAAAAGTAATACCTTAAGAGAAATTATAACTGCCGACCCTGATAAACAGTTTATTAAATTTGATTCCATTAAGATATTACAATAATAACATTCAAATGAAGGTAATAATATTAAATGTTCCAGCCAGATGACATAATATATAATTTAGGCCTGAAAGTAAAGTTAATAAAAATACGCTTAATAATGTTTGAAAAAAATTGGAAAACATTATCAAACTATAGGAGCTATTAATAATCTTTCAAATTTAAAAGAAACAATTTAATTTATTTCATCACAAAAATAATTTGGTGCTAATCTTTAGAAATGAGAAAGAATTTATTAGTATTGATCATAGCTCGGAGGTTATTCCACCAAAGCACAACATGTTTATAAAGATTAGATTTAATAAACTACTAGGGAGCGTGATGTTTGAATAGTAAACTTGAGAATGAAAGAGATGAATATCAAGGATTCTACTATAAATGGATTGGAACAATAATAGCAAATTCTTATAGGAAGACGACAGTTACACGATATCAGAGTTGCTAGATACTTTGAAACAGATTTAGATACAGATACATCATCTAAAAATGGATCTAGATTCTGATTCATTTAATATTATAAAAAAAGTTTTTTAAATTTTTTTAAATTAAACTTTCTCTGAATTCCAGCAATTAACAATCTTACCAAAAGAGTTTTCTCTATTACAAGTTGACGTTGAATTCAAGGTATCATCTCCAAGCACCACAAATTTAAATTTCATACCATGTTATTAAAAAATTATAAAAAAAAGAATATTACTGGTATATTTTATTTTTAGCTAAAAATATAGCGTTTCTAAAAAAATTTAATTGTATCTATAAAAAAATCATAATTTAATGTTTATAAAAATAATTGCCTTTGCGTACAATTTGATGATGGAAGCTAATAAATAAAAAATTCCATGCCGCCAGCTGCAAATGTGATTTCTAAACGTTGCGTACCGCCTGTAGTTTCATATGTACAAATTATCAACGAGAACAAAAATTGGTTATCCGCTAAGATCCTGCTTTCCATTAGTTTCTAGAATATATGATTAGATTAAAATAGATTGCTTAAATTATATTAAAAATCGCTTCTTTTTCAGAAAACACGAATAGAAGGAGCGTTTCTTTGGGAAAATCAAATGGAAATCTCAAAAGCAAACATAATTATCTTTACACCATAGCATAATATTATGGGGTAATGTTAGTCAATAATAATTGCTACAATTTTAAATCCTAGCTCATTTCCAGCAGAACATTTTTTCGAAACGGTTTCTGAGGAAAGTTTCCAACAATTGTTTTAAATTTCGAAACAAAGGATACTATTTTGTCAAGTAAATTCCTTTGTATATTATGATATGTAATAAATCCCTGATGATTTGGATAACTCAGGCACCATTTAATAGTTAATAAAAAAATGTGTAAGTGGCTATAGAAATATATAAAATCAATTTTTTTATTTTTTGAGACAATGGCCTATTTGCAGCGTAACTATTGAACTAATTAACGTTTCAATATTAATTTATACAAGTAATCTGTCAAAAAGATACAAAGTACTAGTACAAAAAAATATAACATAGATAGAGTATTCGCAATACTGCCTTCCATACTTGTTTTTGGTTAAAAACTATAATCAGCCTCAACAATATATTTGCTATAGAAAGGTTAATTTTTTTTAATTTTTATAAGATAATATATTTAAATTTATTAATTAATATTCTTATCTAACCCTAACAATTTATTTAGAATACTAAGGAATCACTAATATAAGTTTCAAATTGAAAAAATAACTTTTTATTTATCAGTAAATCTATGGCAATATAATATTATATTATATAAAATGTAATTTTTTTATTACGAAATTAAAATAAATTCTTGATTTTATATTATATATTAAAAATAATGTTACAAGTTTAATACCACATATATTTATACAAATTAATGAATTAAAAAATTCCCCATGAATCTTTCATTTCTTTGTTTTCTTTAGGATGTTTTTTTTTGAAAAGATTTCATATGCCCCGCGATATTTTATTTTCCAAATTTTGATATATGTTTCTGGAATTCCCTCACATAGTGTTGTTAAACGACTCGATTTGAACCGATCTTTTAAAACATCTAATATTTCGGCCAGAAAAATATTTCCTCTGCCTCAAGATTTCGCTAATTGATGTCCAAACCTTAGTCTTATCTATGAGAAAAATTTTTTGTCTCGCGTAATGTTTTTGTAGTTTATAAAAATCGGCTCAAATCGAGCCATTTAACAACACTACCCTCCCATATCGAAGGTCTATTAATATCCATGAACATTAAATTCGACAAATAATTTACTCTCAAACTCGCTCGATTATCTGCCATGATCAAATTTACAAGATGAAAGTACCTTTCACACTTGGAATTACTTAAATTATCCAATAGGAATACTTTTATCTATATATTGTCAAAACTAAGCAATTGTTTTATTTAATTGAATTGTTTGGCAGGTTCTTTTTTTTGCTTCTCAAATCTTGCATCTTAAGACTATAACATAGGCGTAGCCAGGATTTTCATAAGGGGGAGGGGAATTAAAAAATTACTGGGGGCTTCGCCCCAGACCCCTTTGGGGCGGGTCTTTGGCTCACTTTTCCCCGACATTCGGCCGGGTTACTTTAGTCTATATATAGGCATAAATATTTTTACAAATTTTAATATAAGCCTGGAACAAATATGAAATATATTTTTATTAGTTTATATAAAATAAAAATATAATAAATTACTTGTATTGTATATACCTTAATATAAAAGCATAAGTAATAATTTATTCCAAACAATTATAAGTAATTTATTTATAAAAAGTAAGTAGACATATAGTTGATTTTACTCTATTATATAGAATTAGTTATAAAATACTAGGTAAAATTCCACTTTTACAGACATGTTTGACAGTTAGATAATATATTACAGTTAATAATTTAACAAATTTTACTAATTAATACTCTTGATATTAAATATGCAACAATTTGCATTCAATTATTTAACGCCATCTATTAATTTTAAGGAAAATGATATTTAAATTTAATTTTCATATTATTCATCCCACAATGTCTTTAAAAGATATTTTCTGATGTCCTTATCAATATTTTATAGTTATCTGTAAAATAGATTATTCGCTATATAGGTAAAAATTACTTGATTGTCATTTGATAATTAGATATACTGTAAATCTACGACATATAATATTCCACTGTTTTTATTGTGCTTTAATATTTTTTAATTTATGATTTAATTTTATCAATAGTTTTAAAATTATATTTAACTTTTATTAAGATTAATAAATTAAAATTACTCACTTTATAAAAAATTATATTTGATATATTATATTATTTATTAATTTTATGGATCTATTATTAATAATTATAATACATTTCACTTCTGTCTTAAGACTTATCTTTGGCTTATATTCCATTTATTAAAAAACATTTTTGGTTCATTTTATATATTAAAAATTTATTTTCCCAAATATCTATAAATTATGATGAATAGTTTTATAAAAAAATATCAACTTTTACATTCTTTCTTTTAAATTATTATTTAAGATATATGCATACATATTTGAGGGTCAGGGAGTGGGGGGAGGACTAAGGGGGATATTTTTTATTAGCTAAAAAT